ATATAAATGAATGTTTTTAACTCTTAGTTGTTAAAAAATAATTGTTTGTTTTTATATTTATGAGGTTCTATTCCTAAGTAGGTAAGGGAATTGAAAAAGGAAAAACCTGGGTACTCAAGAGGATAAAACTGTGTGTGTGGGTGGGGGGGCACTAGGGTGGCCAGCTTATTCTCAGGGGGGCATGCCCCCCCCTCCCCCCAACTGACGCCCCTTCAGTAGGCTATTCTGTTTGAATTGGAATTATAATTTTAAATGTAACAACATCATTTAAATTGACTTTTGATGCTGTTAACACGACAATAATCTGAAGATCTCWAACAAACCAACTTAAACTGTCTTTTTTGAAACTTTTTCTTCTTTATTTAAGTAAATCATACAAACCCTTTTAAAAGTTTACCTGAGACCCTCAAATCATCCTTAGTACTCACGGGGGGAGGGGGTTTGCAGGCAGGTTGTCAGCAGCACAAAGTTGCATGAGGCCTGCTGTTTCCTCTTCTTGAAGCTCCTCCATCAGAGATGATATTTGTATKAGAATATCTGACAGTGGAAATATCTTAACCAACCCTCCTTTACTAAAAAGTAGTAATTGCAAGTATCCTTTTATATGAATTTTAAACAAACAAATAAAAGAGTACACTTCCAGTTTAATTTTTAAGTACTTATCTGTGATAAACTTCACCAAGATTATCTTACACTATACTTGACTTTTATTAAAGGGCCAATATTATGTGTTCCTTAGGCATATATWTAAATACTATACCATAATAAAGTATCTATGTCACCTTTAGTTGTTATAAAAATGCTGTTTTTATGTTTAAATAGACTTGACTTTTATTAAAGGGCCAATATTATGTGTTCCTTAGGCATATATTTAAATACTATACCATAATAAAGTATCTATGTCACCTTTAGTTGTTATAAAAATGCTATTTTTATGTTTAAATAGAAAATAAACTTATCTTCTCATCACTTCCTCTTCTAAACGCCTTGAAATTGGCCTCTGTCTCTTTAAGAACCACCTTCTGCTTCTGTTCCCTGTTCGGTGGGAGGGGGTGTGCTCGCGAGGAGGAGGGGGGGGGGCTACGATGCAGTTTACTTGGCATCTGAAAATACATTTCCTCAAAGG